GGGGGGGGGGGGGGTTGGTTCTTTGTTGTTGCTTGGACTTTGTGGTAGTATGAAGCATTGTATAAGCTATGTTCTACATTGTATTTGGTCTTCAAGCCGACGATTATAGTACATTTAAGGTCAAGGGTTAGGTTAACGGTACTCACAAATAATTTTTTGGTACCGTCATTGGTTTTTTATTCAATAAGAAACGTGGAAAGTATAATAATTCTACCATTTTATTATACATGATTTATAAATTTCATAATTACTGATTTTAACCAAGATTTATTTATGATTGAGAGTTATTTTTCAATTTGATACCAAAAAATTAATTTAAGGATAAATATTTTGCAGGTATAACAAAAGCATTTATGCTCCGGGCAGGTACTTTAGAATTCGGGATCAGTGCTTACTTGTCAGTTGCCCCATGATTAGACCACAACAGGTTAAATCGTAATAATAAATTAACAAATGCACAAATGTTGGGGTAACCAGTACTACAAATCAATGTGAAATCTGAAGGGTTAATTATAAATCATACCTCCAAAAATCGTTTGAAATTTAATTTGTATATTTAAAAATTAAAAATTTAAATTTACATCCTCAAAAAAAAAAATTTGTATCAATATGCACCTCTAAAGATCAAAAATCTCAATTTTCACAGTAAAAAATAAAAATTTGTATCAATATGCACCTAAAATTAACCGTTGTCAATTTGCTGACTAAAACTAAATTGATAAATTATACCTAGATTCCCTCATACTTGTCATTTAATTATTTAGACCCATTCTATTACTCTGAAATCTCATGACATTTGTACACTTATAACACGTAACTCATTTTCATTGTCATTTGAATGTCTAATAGAATAAACGGTTGCATATTGAGTGATATATTGCATTGAATATAAAAAATATTATATAAATATTTACATTTTATTGGACATTCAAATAATAATCTTGATTTTAAATTTAGAGTATATTGGACCCACAAAATAAAGGATAATATGAAATTATAATTTTTTATCAGGATAAAATTATATTTTTTTAACGATTATATTAACAGATATCAACGAAAAGGGGTTACGTGTTACACATGTACAAACGTCATAATATGTATGAGAAATATTCTAAATGTGAAGGAGTCCAAATGATTTAAGTGACAAGTATGAGGGGATTTAGGTATAATTTATCAATTTAGTTTTAAGCAAGACGACGGTTAGTTTTAGATGCACATTGATACAAATTTCTATCTTTGAGGATGCAAATTGAGATTTTTATCTTTGGGGGTGCATATTGATACAAATTTCTATCTTTGAGGATGAAAATTAAGATTTTTTATCTTTGGGGATACTAATTGAGATTCGAACAATCTTTTATGGTGTAATTTACAATTAATCCAAATCTTGAATTGTTAAAAAGTGTATAACATAAACATTTACATTCTTTAACCAAAAAAATATTAGTATTATTTTTTTTTAACATAAAATAATTATACAGATAAACCACTTCGCATATTCGTCGAAAGTTTTATTTTTGCAACACCAAATAGCTATATGTAGAAGATCTTAGTGCACCTATATCGAGACCGAAACTAAAGTCTCTTTGTCTGCTCTAATCATTGAAGAGTAAATTTACTCCCATCGAATTGTTGTAATTATAGATATTTGAACAAATTTAAGTTCTTATCCACTAAATCAACCGTTAAATAATCCAAAAAAAATAATATGCATTGAAAGATAAATGAGAATTAACATTATTATTGCTACGTGACAACTGTTTTCGCAATCCCGTTAAGATATCAGATACATAAGTGATTAACTCTTCTTACCAACTTTTGTACTAACACAGCAAGATGATGTAACGCACAATAAAAGACCGAAAGTTTGTCTGTCCATGTCAACATAATGTGATTAGGGCTTCAACAGGAAACATTATTGCAGTTTGAAAAACTGGCACTATTATATAAACATTAAGATTTCTTACAAAATATTACTGTCTACGTGGGTTTGATACCTATTGCATGTGGACCTTGGTTTAGTGAGAATTGACAAGAAATGAAAGCAACAGTTCTACACTAGGAATAGTTGGCTGTTACCCTCTCCTTGTTAATAGGTTGGGGGAATGAGAAAGTGGATTAATCAACTGCTCAATAGTTCCCCTCACTAATCATTCTGATTTATAGGACAGGTTAAAGCGCTATAGTAAAGTTATTTTATTATGACACCGATGCTACTGATCCAAATTGTGTAAATAGTCTCTTTGTAGAGAGATATGCTTCTTGAGATTTTGTAATGACGTACGTTGATATGTTCTTTACTAATTACTCTATATTAGAACTATGAAAATAAATAAATAAAATAATATCAACAAAGTAATGATAAATATCAAGAAATCTTATTTAGGCTTTTATTAACATCACTATGTAGTCTAATAACAAATTTTCATTAAAAATCGGAGGACCATTAGTGCAAAATTGTTTGTAAAAATGTCATTGCCACTGTCATTATTTTTATAGGAATTATTGTTAAAACTTTCTTTGTGATGTAACAGCGAAACTTTTTCCAATATGTCTAATAGTATGACTTGAAACTTAATACCGAGGCATGCGATCGCTGTAAGCCAAAACCTTAACAATTTCAAGCCATACTCATGATTACTCATACTCATCATATGTCGAGTTCCAATTGAAACATATATAAAAAAATGTATAAATCTCGGGTTGGATGATGGCAGTATGCTTGTTAAATAACAAAAAAAATACATAAAACACACATAAAATGAGAGTTATCGATCCCAATTTCAATCCCGTGTCATTCGAACGTTGAATTATCGATTATAACATAAACTTTGCACATAGTCAATCTCTAATAAACCACACACATTGCATAGTCCAAAAATTCTCATACAAGACATGTACATATTTTTTATCCTTAGAAGTTTTATACCAAAAATGGTATTGTGTATCTCACGTCACGTGTAATACTAACATAGCATACTATGTCTTCTTCTTCAATAATGGACATAACTCCAACAGAGAAAAAGTCTACCACTTATGATCGATTTCGCATGAAACTCAAGCAATTAAAAGTTTATGGAAAAGAGAAAGAGCAAATAACTCAAATGAGTAATTAAAATAATAATAGATATAAGTTATAAATTCAAACGTTTTAAATTTAAATTTTGATAATTTTTTGAAGTTACATCACGATAAATTTATTCCTCTTGAATATCTTAATTTTGACATAAATAATTTATTTTTAATTAAATAAAAAAAAATTAATTAAAATACACGTACATTCGTCCGAACTCTTGTCCGTTAAAAAAAATAATATTAAATAAATAAAAACTGCGGCAAAACATAGTGGGCTATCAACTCCTACTTTACTCCGAAACTACGTCACGGTCATTTAACACTCCAACCACTAGTAACCTTTAGCCCACGCCACAATAAAGCCGATCGTCATGACGTGGCACAAAATAATTGACCNATTATCAAGTGGATTAATCAACTGCTCAATAGTTCCCCTCGCTAATCATTTTGATTTATAGGACAGGTTAAAGCGCTATAGTAAAGTTAGTTTATCATGACACCCATGTTACTGATCCAAATTGTGTAAATAGTCTCTTTGTAGAGAGATATGCTTCTTGAGATTTTGTAACGACGTAGGTTGACCTGTTCTTTACTAATTACTCTATATTAGAACTATGAAAATAAATAAATAAAATAATATCGACAAAGTAATGATAAATATCAAGAAATCTTATTTAGGCTTTTATTAACATCACTATNTTTATTGGTAATGGAATTTTTAAAATTGGGTTGAAAAGAATAGTTTTTTTTTTCGGGTGATACGGGATGATAGAGAATCCTAGCTGTTAATCAAATCAAATTATTCGAGTTCGATTTATTTTCTAAATATGAATAATTTTTTAGGTCTGTTTGAAAAATAAGTTTGACAGACTCGGCTCAAATTCGATAGATTCAACTCATTTTGAGCTAGTTCGGACTCGACTCATTTTTTAAAGGAACTGAACTTAAATAATTTTTTAAACTCGATTAAAAAAATAAATTTTTTAGGCTCGACTTAAACTCGTTTGACTATCAATCCTAACCCTAACTGCATGATTCTCGATTTATGAGAAGAAAACANCTCATCATATGTCGAGTTCCAATTGAAACATATATAAAAAAATGTATAAATCTCGGGTTGGATGATGGCAGTGTGCTTGTTAAATAACAAAAAAAATACATAAAACACACATAAAATGAGAGTTATCGATCCCAATTTCAATCCCGTGTCATTCGAACGTTGAATTATCGATTATNCTATCAATCCTAACCCTAACTGCATGATTCTCGATTTATGAGAAGAAAACAAAAAAATTTCACTATAGTTGAAGTTTGGTGGCATTCACAAAACCATAATTATCCCCTTTAAACCACATTCCTGATAGGATCTCTACAAGTATGCATATAGGTTTAAATATTTATATTATATAGTAAAGAAAGAATAAAAAAAACTCTCTTTTTTCTATTGCAATTACACTCTTTCTATTCTTCATTCCTATCCTCTTTTCTTATAAAAAAGGGTTTTTAAACTAAGTAAACGATTAATTCATTCTTAATAGTTATCTCTTTAATTGGGGTTAAGGGTATACTCTGAATCAGAATCGTGAAGAGTACTTCTTGATCATTTCTATTAACTCAAAACTCCGTTAACTAAAAGATGAAAGTGGGGGGTTTTGGGAGGGAAGTGAGGAGTCTTCATCTTACCTTACGATGGGAAACATCTCATTTGATCACTAGTCAATTAAAGGTGTTAAGATGTTAACATCCATTTGAATGCATGATTAATACTTCTGGAATGGACGTAACACCTGCTCACAATACTGCATGTAACATATATGTGCTTATACAAGCTTATACATAACATGTGTGTGTATGTATACTCTCTCTCTCTCTCTCTCTCTCTCTACAGACACACACACAAACACGCAAGACTCTGACAGTCTGACGAGATGCACATCTTTTTTGTAGGGCCTCCAATATATGGCAAGGTTCCAACAGTGAACGACGAGAAATCACTCATTAAAAAAGGTTTGGAAAGGTTCGATCAACTTGTTAACAGCGAAGCTTTGCTCACAAGTATAGACAAATCTAAATAATTGAATAATAAACTTCAAATTGCGCAGGAGATTCAAAATAACTTTTTAAATCTTTATTTATTGGATAATGTAACAACAATACTGATTGGTGGTTGCCGGAAGGATGGCACATCTTGTAGGCTACGAATGCCTCTCCAGCCTACTTTTTATTATTATTTTTTTTGGTTTGGGGGTCAAGAAGTGGTGACCGTCTTCTAGCAAAAATATAATTATAAGTCTTTTTCGTTACGATTTCATAAAAATTTACCTTTAAGGATATATTTAAAGACACGGTACAATGTAAATCAGCCAATTAATTTGAAAAAGTGAGAATTGTCTAGAGAAAGAAGATTGAGGAGAGCAAAGTAAAATTTAACGTGAATGATTATGAGAAGAATGTTGTTGACCATTAAATTAGTCTATTTGAAACCATCGGATGAGTTTAATAAAACATATTCTATTTTATATTAGGGTTAATTGCAAGTTACACCCTTAAAGATAGTTCGAATCTTAATTTTTATCCTCAAAGATCAAAAATCTTAATTTCTACCCTTAAAGATAGAAATTTGTATCAATATGCACCCCCAAAGATAAAAAATCTCAAATTGCATCATCAAAAATAGAAATTTGTATCAATGTACACCTAAAACTAAATTGATAAATTATACCTAGATTCCCCATACTTGTCACTTAATTATTTGGACATTTTCACATTTAGAATATTACTCATACATCTTATGACGTTTGTGCACCTGTAACACATAACCCCTTTTCATTGATATCTGTTAATATAACCGTTAAAAAATATGATTTTATCTTAATAAACAATTATAATTTCATATTACCCTTTATTTTGTGGGTTCGATATACTCTAAAATTCAAAATTAAGCTTACCATTTGAATGTCCAATATAATGTAGATATTTATATAATATTTTTTATATCTAATGTAATATATTACTTAATGTATAACCCTTTATTCTATTAGACATTCAAATGGTAAGCTTAATTTTGAACTTTAGAGTATATTAGATCCATAAAATAAAAGGTAATATAAAATTATAATTTTTTATTAGAATAAAATCATATTTTTTAACAGTTATAATAACAGATATAAAAAAAAAAGGGTTAAGTGTTACACATACACAAACGCCATGAGATGTAAGAGTAATATTTTAAATGTGAAGGGGTCCAAATGATTAAGTGACAAGCATAANAAGGGTTAAGTGTTACACATACACAAACGCCATGAGATGTAAGAGTAATATTTTAAATGTGAAGGGGTCCAAATGATTAAGTGACAAGCATAAGGTAATCTAGGTATATTTTATTAATTTAATTTAGGTACACATTGATACAAAATTTTATTTTTAAGGGTGCAAATTGAGATTTTTTATCTTAGGGGTGACACATTGATACAAATTTCTATCTTTGAAGGTGTAAATTGAGATTTCTAATCTTTGAGGGTATAAATTAAAATTTGAACGATCTTTCAGGGTGTAATTTATAATTAACTCTTTATATCTCATAAATAATCTTCCATTTCTTTCGGAATAACCACTAACAATCACTTATAATTTTCTCGTTACTCATACTGTTTTTTGGTTCAAAAGTCAAAAATGTTCGGGCCTCCTCCGCAGTTCAATTAAAGGTAAGTCATCTACGCCGGAACTAGATTATTCTTTTATGACCTGACCCCAAGAAATTATCAAATTTTAAACTTATTTGCAGACTTAAATGTCAAGTAGATATAATGATGAACTTGTTGAAATTTTAAGCATACTCGTATTTAACTTGAATTTTCTATCTAGATACACATCTTTTTCTTTCGGCGCGGTTATTATATGTGCACGACCCCAGCTATAACAATAATCTACATGAGCATTTTCAATGCTTAAGTGTAACAAATTCCTAATACAACCGAAGACCCATATCATCATTTTACCCATATAAAAAAAAAAACCCAGAATCGAAGTTCCTTTCTCCAAACTATACTCAAAATATGAAAGCTAGTGCAATGGAGGTTCTCGGTGGTAAGCACACACTACTCAACAGCTTCAAAAAGGCCTTTCTACCAATCTTAACATTGGTTCTTCTCATCACAATCCCTCTCTATCTGAGCAACACTTCATCTTCCCTTCTCCGCTCTCTAAATATCAGTTCCAATGCCACTTCAATATCCCTGCTCGGAAAAAACGACTTGGCTTCCTCGCCATTGCAGTCTCCCAAAACAATTACCAACGATTCAGCAAGCGCGAAGAACACACATCATCGATGCAATATATTTCAAGGGAATTGGGTTCCAGATTCGAAGGGGCCTTACTACACGAATGAAACGAAGTGTTTGATCGATGATCGACAGAACTGCATGAAGTTTGGAAGACCAGACAATGAGTTCATGAAACGGAGGTGGAAGCCTGATGAATGCGAGTTACCTCTTTTTGATCCAGTCCAGTTCTTGGAGCTTCTCAGAGGGAAGACTTTGGCCTTTGTTGGAGACTCGGTGGGAAGAAACCAGATGCAATCACTGGTGTGCCTCTTAGCTAGTGTAAGTCCTGGATTACTTGTTACATCATATTATAAACAAGGATTAAAATTTCGTTTCAATTTTGGTGAGCTTAGAAACGGAAGCATTTCAGTAACATTTTAGAAACAAGATGAAAATAAAAAAAAAAATTAAAAATTTATTTTCAAAATATTGGTTCGAAATATGTTGAAAAATATCGAAATATAAGAATTCTAATATATAATCAATGATNATAAAAAAAAATTTATTTTCAAAATATTGGTTCGAAATATGTTGAAAAATATCGAAATATAAGAATTCTAATATATAATCAATGATTCATTTCGATCTCCCTGAAAACAGAAACATACATAGGAAATTTACTTGCTTGGTTATAATTCATACGAAGTTCCAGTTTGCATTCTATGGGTAGTTTATGTGCATACATTCATGCTTGCACACATATATAATTACATACATACACAATATACGAGCATACATGAACGTATATAAGTTGCCAGGTTGGTGTGGATGGTGGAGATCCAAATCCTCTACAGTACACTTTTTAATTTTTCTTAATGACAAATCACTTTATACGTATTGTATGTCACTTGAATTCATGAAGCGAGAATTGACGGGTAAGAGAAATCCAAGGGAAAGATAGTGAGGGGGGATTCAAGTCCAGCTGGAGGGCATGTTGTAGTTCAATAATGAAGTGGTGAGACATTAGATGAGCAGGAATATGATTATATCAGCACAGCACTAGTTCCTTATGATGGACGGAACAATGCGAAACATTGTATGGTCCTACTTAAAAGAACCAAATGAGCAAAAACAAAAAAGCTAAGTCCCATCACGTCAGGAATAAAGAATGCAACAACCATGTACTACACAAACTTCGTAACTTTTTATCCCACCCACAATAGGAATATATCTAACTACCAGCGAAAATTACAAATAGTAAGACTCTCTGTGTGTGTGTGAGAGAAGGTCCTACATCTCATGTTATGGATACCATTTCATACTGAAAATTCTCTGATATCTTATGGAAATTATACGTCACCAACAGCGTTCTCAATCCAGGCTGTGAATGTTATAATCAAACTTAAAAGCCAGAACTAAAACCACATGGCCACCATCATCTTATGTGTGCCTGTTACATGAATATTAAACAAATTCGGAAAGGAAAAGACACAAAACACACTTCATTAAGAGGATTCCGAATACGGTTATTAATCAAACTGAGTTATTCGAGTTTGGCTCAGGTTCGGCTTGGTTCGTTTTCTAAACGAGTCCGAATTTGAATATATTTTTAAGTTCGTTTAAATAATAAGCCCCTCGACAAGCTCAATTTATTTATGTGCAAATACTCGAACTCGGCTCGGGCTCTACTTGTTGGGCTCGTTCAAGCTTGGCTCATTTCCTAAACAAACTAAACTTAAACAATTTTTTAAGCTTGATTAAGAAACAAGCTTCTCAAGCTCGGCTCGAACTCAACTCGAGCTCGTTCGACTAATAACCCTAATTATGAAGCAAATGGACCTATGAAACGATCTTAATATTACGTTTAAACACTTCAATATCAAGGTGTATACATGGATACTATTACCATCTATGTAAATACAGGAGGAACTATAGATTATGCTGCACAATTTATATGCTCAGTCTAACTCGACTTCGTACTTGTACAGGCTGCTTATCCTGTGGATGTATCCTACATACCAGATGGAAAATTCAGACGCTGGTTCTACCAAGATTACAATTTTACAATAGCAGCGCTCTGGTCCCCTCAATTGGTTAGAGCCCACGACGCCGACCCTGATGGTTTCTCCCCCAACAGCCTCATGAACCTTTACTTAGATGAGGCTGATGAGGCCTGGGCTAGTGAAGTTGAAAATGTTGATATTGTGATCATCTCAGCAGGGCAATGGTTCTTTCGACCATTCATATACTACGAAAAAGGTCAAGTTGTTGGGTGTCATAAATGTAACAAGAAGAACATCACAGACCTTACCTGCTATTATGGATACAAAATGGCCTTCCGTACAGCTTTTAGGACCCTTTTGAGCCTTCAAAACTTCAAGGGACTGATTTTTCTAAGGACATTCTCACCAGACCACTTTGAGAATGGGGATTGGAATAAAGGTGGGAATTGTGTAAGAACAAGACCATTTACAAAGCAAGAAAGGAAGTTAGATGGGTATAATCTCGAGTTTTACTTGACCCAAGTGGAGGAGTTCAAGGTAGCAGAAAAAGAAGGAAGAGAGAGAAACTTGAAATTTCGGTTGCTAGATACTACAGAAGCCATGATTCTGAGACCAGATGGACACCCAAACCAGTATGGGCATTGGCCACATGAGAATAACACTCTAGCCGACTGCGTTCACTGGTGCATGCCTGGGCCAGTAGACACATGGAATGAGTTTTTGCTTCAGATGTTGAAGATGGAAGAATAAGGATCAAATGAAAGGAAGTTTCAGAAAAATGATTAAGACAGATCAGATATATTTTGGACAAGCATATCCACCGATAATATCACAGCTTACTGTGTATACTTCAAATATGAGTGATTTTTTTTATTATTTTGTACAATCATATTTGTTCATGTAGCTATGTTTTCTTATGAAATAACAGAACAAATAGGGAAGATAATAAGCTACATGATGTCATATCACAAATTTGACTCTACACGATATGAGAGCAGATAGTTTAATAAACAAATTGCTCTTAAAGTAAATGAGAATTGTAGCATCTGCTTGTAGCTCTAGGTTTTAGTTATGTATCAACATTTTTAACTTTCAAGGATAGTGTATGAGCCAATAATCAAAACTAATGTTCACTTTAGGGAGTAATTTGTGATATACAGTCAACTTAAAGAGCACGACAATCGCCTAGAAAAAAAACGACCAATATAATAGATGCAGCAACCTAGTTACTGAGAATTCTGAAAACAGAGTTGATAAAGAGTAGACAGCTTAATCCATGAAACATTTCCAGGATCTTTAGAATGAGTACAAAGAAACCGTCATCTATGCAAATGAACTAAGAATTACAGCATACGAATTACATTTCCCCCCTAAAACTTGACCTGTTCCTGACATTCAGTCAAATGTATTGAGTCAGTTTTGCCCAACAGATATTTGACGACTATCATAAAGACTCATCTTTGTAATAATCATGCGCAACATTGAGCCTTTTCCAGGTATCCTATCATTCAGTTCATAATTATTAAATACAAGAATTAGTAATTAAGTCTCGAGAATAGAACAATTAGACAAGACAATTTTAGAATCCTAATTTTCACCGACAATTTTCAGGTGGACCTCTCCATAGCTGGTGTTTAATCCTACTGCAGTAAAAGGTGAGCAAAAGCTGAGTAGTGACAACAGTTTTTTAACAGTGAAGAGATAAAGACATTTGCACATATGCTTTTGAAGTAGATGAACGGAGTTTAGGATAATTAAGGTTAGTATTGTTTACTAGCTAGGAGTGAAGTCGGTATTATTTCGTACTCCTGAGAAAAAGGTTATCACAAGTGCAAATAATTTGCCAGGGAACATATGAGTTACGATGCTGGAATAGGATTACCCATTTGATAATATGCAGAGATTTCCATTCCAGAAAACGGTATGACTCCCCAACCCACAAACTTTTTGTCTTCCATTGACCCTGTAATTAACCTACCTTCACATCCTCTGCTAAAACTACGCCAAAAAAAACGTTGGTTGATGGAGAACCATAGCAGCGACTGAATCCACACTTAGNCGCAACCCACAAACTTTTTGTCTTCCATTGACCCTGTAATTAACCTACCTTCACATCCTCTGCTAAAACTAAGCCAAAAAAAACGTTGGTTGATGGAGAACCATAGCAGCGACTGAATCCACACTTAGCAGAACCATACAGTTAAAACAAATCTCAGTTAATATACATGAATGTTTCTGTACAACTGGAATACAATATCATGGAAAATAGTAATCAGGTCCAGCAGGATAACTGAATTTCAGAATATATGTAGTATATGGCGGAACATCTTAGAATGAAATCTTGATGAATACCAAGATGTGTAGAACTAAAATGTAGATCACGAAAGCCGACCTGAGCAGCATTAACCTCTGCAGTTTCTCAGTTCGGCCACCCATGTGGTAAGGAGACTTTTGACGAGGATCAACAATGTAATCTGAAGAAACAAATCCTTCCTCAGAGCTGCTTCTGCCAAATCGATTCCTTGCAATATTCCCATCTGCGGGGCTGGTTTCAAGCCTCCTCCGAAGCCCATTCAATCTTTCTAACTCAATCTCATTCAGATGGATTTCACCAACAAGGCCTTCCGCTTGGGCCTACAAGCAAGGTCAGGAATAGAAGAAAGGATTTCCCACCGAAAAGCTCATAGAGAATATTTCACAACAAAAATGACTTGAAACCAAGTACAGACATAAATACAAAGCCACAACAGAGTCCGGGGAAAAAAAATTACACCTGCTTGGCAGCTAGTTGTTCAATTAGGCTGTGAAGCTGTCTATCCAATATTTTCTCTCTCTGAGCTGCACAGGAAGTGGATCAAGTCAAACCAATATTAGCAAAACAACCCATCTAAATTGTAAATGATTTCTCACATCTATTTCACCACATCTGAACACAAAGCAACAAAGGTTTAGATGAAAAAAATAATGCTGAAGTGAAAAGGTATACCAATGAAAATTGATAATTTCTTCTGAAGTAAATCGCGAGTGGAATAAAATTGTTAATGTATGGCACATGGCCCACAAGCACTTGCTACAGGTCAAGCAAGTTCACACCAGGCCATGTATGTTCTGTTTTAATATGCAAGCTCATCCTATGCTTTAACAAAACATGAGACGCAGAGAACTAAAAGCAATATCAGTGTCAAAAGAGGAAAGAGGGAGAGGAGGACAAGAAACACTTCTTTGTCATGCTCTCATCATGTCATTGTCATGTTTTCTCTACTTTTTCATGTCAGTCTGTTTCTATGCAATACATATTGTGACAGAAAATATAGAAGAAAAAAATGTTGAAACCAGGTTAAAATATCACCTCATAGCCATAGACTATGCATTGGAACTTCAACACTCCATATCCAAACAAAATGTAGAATAAATTAATCTTGTAAAATACCTGGAGAAGGCTGCTTCAGCGCGTTATCTTGGACTGCCGCCCATTTCTTCTCCAAATCCTGAACAATCTCTTCCATTGGGACCTATGAAGGCAANGTCATAGACTATGCATTGGAACTTCAACACTCCAGATCCAAACAAAATGTAGAATAAATTAATCTTGTAAAATACCTGGAGAAGGCTGCTTCAGCGCGTTATCTTGGACTGCTGCCCATTTCTTCTCCAAATCCTGAACAATCTCTTCCATTGGGACCTATGAAGGCAAAATATCTTCAGCGACAAAAAAAAAATACTTAGACAAAAGATGAATAAAATAAGATAAAATTGTTTTGTTTTTTTTTTTTTGGG